TCTGTTGTAAGTAATCTTAAAGATTCCTAAATGTATCTACAGTACTTCTGGAAGGCCAAATAAAGTGATTTTGCTTTAGCCTAGAAACACACAGCGTCTCCCTGACATGCTGCTTCAACACTAACTGCGGTTACTGAAACCACGCCTTCTTTCTTTGCGTGCACATTTGGGCGGCATTATGCTAATATTTCCACATAGTGAGGTAGATATGTGGGGGCGTGTTAGAACGAGCCGTTTTAGGGGGGTGTGGCAGAGTCTTAACTTTGATAAAGAATATCTCTTTGGTTTTGAGACTTTAGTCTTTGCAACTTCAGGGATCTTATCTATGCACAATCAGCTTGTAACACTCCAAAGAGAAAGGAAAACTTGAAATCGCATCATATGACCCCTTTAATCTCTGATTACTACATATTGACCAATTTATCAGCCTTGCTGATATATCGGTCTATCACTATAATATTGTCTGTCTGACTGATTTGAAATGTGAAATTTGAGTGACACTCATAATTATTCACCTAGCGACCACCATCAAAACCACAAAATACACTCTAATCAAAAAGAGGTGCAACAACACAAGCTCATAGCGGTGACTAGCAGAATAACGGTCTAATGAATAGCCATTTCTAATATGACTCAAGTTGTAATCTAAAGGACACAAAATACAACTTAAAGAGTGTGAATTTAAGGTGGGTGTGGTGCAATAAGTTCCTGCTGCTCATGAAATCATTTCATTGTCTTCACAACAAGAGTTTAAACTAGAAAATCTGTTTGGCATGAACTACAAGAGCTTAGATATTCACTGCTCTTAAACAGGTGTCACTTTACCCAGTTTATTTTTCACTGTTGTATAAAAAAAGACATTGAACCACTCCTCACAAGCTGTGGTGTGTCTGTTGTTTTCACACAGGATATCCTGTAACATCATTTCTGCTACTCTGACATTCTACAAAAAAGCAATGAAAGAGGCAAAAATATGTCACAGTGTGCACCACATAGAAATAAAGTCAGAAAACATGTACTTTCCTAAGGTACACTAAACACCTCAAAACTAAATCAAACCAAATGTTTTTGATATATATAAACACAGCATCTAAGTAAATGAGATCAATTTTGGAGATCATCCTAACATAACAACATTAAAAAAAATCAGAATTTATGATTTGATGACTCTTTTAAAACGTAATTACACAAATCTTTACTTTAGCCAAATGTTTGAGTCAGCAACAACTTGTCAATGTCATTGTCAACATGTAGTCCTACTAAAAAACCAAGGTAAACATTGTGTTTTATTTCGTCACTGCCATCATGCAAGTGTTAGCATTATTATTCAGTATCGAGCTGTAGACTACGTTTGACCTCATTTAGACTAAAAGAGTATTATATTAAAACTGACCACCAAATTCTATTAATTTCTATGAAGCTTTTCACCATAATGTATTTTGACACTTCTGAAAAGTTATAAGAAACTTTAATAACATAAAACTTACCATAATCGTCTGCCTCCATACTGCCGCGGTGTTTCACACAGCTCTAGCCTTCCTCCACTACACAAACTCAACATCACTTGTCTTTCGCGCGGGGTTGTGTGTGTGTGTGTGTGTGTGTGTGTGTGTGTGTGTGTGTGTGTGTGTGTGTGTGTGTGTGTGTGTGTGTGTGTGTGTGTGTGTGTGTGTTTTCCTTTTCCTCTCTCTCTCTCTCTTCCAGGTTACAGCTGTTCCACTCACGGTGAACTGTACAGTACATAAGCTTTGTCTGAAAACCTAACGAGTCGCCTACATATACAACATTTCTGGGCGTCATGAGCGCGCAAAAATGCGTCAAGATGCTTCCTATGTAGGATGCTCACTAAAGGTTTTAGACCCAGCCAGTCTCTGTAGCGCTATGAAGGAACACATTTCTTTGTACCTTATATTAGTGCCATTAAAATGTTACCGTTAGTATCATTTTAAATAAATAAATAAATGATTCAAGTCAGTCCTCTGTCCTTTCCCTTTTTTTCCCGCCATGGGTAATTCTGTCCAGCAGGAGTCTCCCCAACCTCTTGAGAGATCGAAAAGAGGACTTTAAAATGTGTCTTTAATGCACTTTTAACATAATAAATAAATACAATCCATGCATTTGAAACGTGAATGCTAAAAATGCTGTCGTCACCCACCAGAAACCATAAATACAATAAGATTTTTTGCTGTCATTTACAAACGTAAAATTATGTTGGTGTAGTTTTAAAACATGTAATTTCTCCTACGCATTATTTTGTTAAGCATATAATTTTACTTCCTAGATGGTATTTACCTGTTGCCCATTAAATATTGTCTATTTTCAGGATGCTACATCTAAATACAGGATTGAGTCTTAATATAAATTAAAAAGTGGGCCTACATTATAAGTGAAGAAATGTTCTGCTCTTCTGCTTTTATTCTCATCCTGTATGACTGCATCCTCCTCACTCTCTGGAATTTTTTTAATGATTGACAGCAGCAGTAGGCCTAATTGTTATTCCAAACTATGCAAACGCACAGACCCAGACAATAATCTTGCTACGTTCCTAAAGGAAAACTTCTGTTGGAAAAATGCAGCCCTATGATGGGAAAAGCCAGGCTTTAAACTGTAAATCATTATGTAAATATTCTATATATATTTGCAGATTAGTTCACCGTTGCCAATTGGCCATTACAAGAAAGTTGGTTGCGTTGTAGGCCTATAGCTCTGTCTTTGCATATTTTTTAAGGGGGAAAAAATCTCAAAAACACCCTTTCTGGGCACCACATACACATTTTTGACATAGTTTCCTGGTTTAGTATTACCACAGACACTAAATTGCTTTTGTCTGTGCCGCACACCGTCAAACACGCAACAGCAGACCAAGTCACAAAGTTTCTTTTCTTCACAAAGGCACACCATCAATACGAAGCTTTTTGCTAGAACTCAGTCAGTACATCAGAGTTGACTAGTCTCAGGCCTGATGTTGATGATTTATGTAAAAAAGATCAAACAAGACTGTGCTTTTTTTTAAAACTATGGTCTTCCTTAAGAAGACCCCATAAAATTTAAAGGGGTCATATGATGCGATTTCAAGTTTTCCTTTCTCTTTGGAGTGTTACAAGCTGATTGTGCATAGATAAGATCCCTGAAGTTGCAAAGACTAAAGTCTCGATTTTCCAACCATTGCATTAATTTATTTATTTTACTTCTTTCTCTCTCAGAGCAGCACATTGTGGATTTTTGCTTTTCCCTCTAGTCAGAGTGGAAACAATGAGAATGTGCCAGCTGCAGACACAGCCTCATGGCAGACGCAGGAGCAAAATACTGTATTTACTGCTGTTCTGAGTGGGAAGAGAAACAATAAAGAGACTTCAGTAGGTTTATGACTACAAGAGCAAATTCCTTATAGATGTGATAGCAGCTAAAGTTCCCGATTCAGCGTCTCTAGTGTGCTTTTGTGTTAAGGGATTATGGTTCAATAAGGGTAAAAAAAAGAGTGTGGATTAAACATCAATAGGAAAGCAGAAAGAAAAAGGAACTTTTATTCTACTTTATATATTACATTCTGTTATACTGACAGACTGTGAGTAGCACAGTACCATCACTGCGCCATGATGATTAAAAGCTTCCAAAAGGATGAAATATCAGCATAAATCATAAAAGTGGTCCATCTGGCTCAATATTCCAAGTCTACTGAATTTATACAACAGCTTTGAGCGATAAATAGACTGCAGTTTAAATCACTGATTAGTCTGATTCATGAATGAATCATTGAATGACAGGTTTTGTGAACCGGATCAACGATTCATTAAAAAAGGTTTGACGCTATTCGTCAATGAAATAAATAGCTAGCTACTTCTCATGGAGAGCTAGGGCAAATGTCAAGATTGTTAGAGAACAACTCCCAGTATACTATACAAGATGAAAGCTAGATCTGATCCTTACTGTCATTTATGTAATAAATCTACAGTTGGTTCTTACTTGCATATGTTTTGGGAATGCCCAGTGTTGGTTCCTTTTTGGAAATTTGTATGTTCTGTTCTTTCGGATTTCCTGCACTTGGATATACCTCGAGATCCCCTGCTTTTTCTATTGTTAGATGATTCCATTCTCCAGCTGAATGCTCATCAAAAAAGGACCTTATCAGCTGCAAGTACTGCTGCCAAAAAGACTATTTTGAAGTTATGGATAGAACCATCCATTCCCACAACTTCTACCTGGCTATCATACTTCAGAGACATTGCCTTGCTGGAAGGTACCACTGCCAGGCTCAACAGGCGCAAAAGACAACACTATTCGGAGTTGGGCAAATATTGCTGTGATGTTGCTAGATAGGCTGGAAAGTTGACATTACTGCTATGCATATCTGAATTGTATTTCTTCCTCTCCTTTGGTACAAGTGGACAGCTTCATGGCATCTGTTTGTACATAGTTCTCTGGAACTGTGAATTGTGATAAATGTTTCTGGTGTGAAACTAAATCTGAATAAAAATGTTGATCACAAAAAAAAAAAAAAGATTGTTAGAGAACAAAGACTGTTCAGGAGTTTCTTTCTTACACTCAACTATCACGTGGCTTTAGAAGACTTGGAACAGAATCCTATCCTAAAAGAAAAGCTATTCCTTTAATGTTTCGGTTGCTGTAATGTCAGTTTGTACACTGCGTGATAGGTACAGTAGGCTCTAGCATAATAATACGGTGCATAAACACAAGCACGTGTCTTTAACATGTAAAAAAAAAAGGTATGCCATAAAATCATTTAGGATAGATTTGATTCAATACTTGTGTATATTTATATAAAACTCTGTCCTGACAGACACGTGTCTTTAACATGTAAAAAAAAAAAAGATATGCCATAAAATCATTTAGGATAGATTTGATTCAATACTTGTGTATATTTATATAAAACTCTGTCCTGACAGAAAGAGTGAAAGAAATCTTCTGAAGATCTTCATGAAGCGCCCACCTCTGGTTGAATCTGGTTTAAAGGGAGGAGTCCACGAGCAGTATGAACCTGGTCTCTCCATGAGAACACACCCATAGAAGGCAGTGGAAAAGAAAGAAGCCTGGAAAGACCATTAAAGATAGAGCAGCAGTGCACTTCCTTTATTACCAACAAGCCCGTTCGTCTCTGAGGAATTTAACAGCAGTAGTCACACTAAAACTCAGCGTGTGGCATCTCGAACGGCGGTGGACATTGTACTTTTCGGCTGTGTGAGGGACTGGGATCATTGTTGACATCGCAGAAGATCGTCTGCCTCCCTCTAATTTTGCTGTCAGGTATTAAAGTGAAGCAATGAAGAGTGTCAGGAGCTGTATTGGCACACTTGTGGTGCTGGTACTGTTTCGGGTGGGAGAGATCGCAGAAGCGTGCAGTTGTTCCCCCGTCCATCCTCAACAGGCGTTCTGCAATGCTGATGTTGGTAAGTGCGTGTCAACAATCTCAACGATGCTACGCCACAATGCAAAATTGCTACTATAGCGAGTTTACTGCAAATGCATCATCATTAGAGCTAATGCGTCTTTACACCACAAAGGCTGCATGTATATTGTTTAATGCCGCACAAATGTAAAGTAATTATTATTAGAGAAACCTGAAACTACACGTATATCATCTGTCTTGACAACAACAAAGTTCAAGGCTGCTCTGATGCTGCTTTGTAGATGAAATGCAGCATCACAACCACCGGGGCTGAGGTTGGTATTTTATTAGCCTACGTCTTTACAAACCCAAAATGCCACATAAAAGCAGCACTAAAACATGCCAACTCTGACCCACCTCTGGATCAGAGGCTGCTCTAATGCTGCTTTACTTCTGTAAATGAAATGCAGCATCAGAGTAGCCTTACAATTTGAAGTATATTATTATCTTGAATTGTATTAAATATTTATTTGTAATTATATATTTTTTATATGATTATTATTATATTTAATTGTTATTTATAATTCTTTGTAATTCAATTATTCAGATCTTTATTTATATTATTACAAATTTCATAATGTAACATTTATTCCGCAACTGTAATTCTAGTGTAAATACATTTATGCTGTCTGAGTAACTGAACAGCACTGAATCAGTCTATGCACATTCAGGGACATCTAGACCTTGTTTTCAAGTCCAGATCTGTGAGGTTTTGGGTTTCCACTAGATTTTTCTCTCCTTGAGCTTTTAAAGTCTGTTGTTCAGAATGCATTCCAAAGCTCAGAATGTTTGTTTGTCTGCAAAACCACTGAAAAAAAAATAATTAATTAATCATACAATAAGAGGACAGCTGGGAAATGTATGTTGATCAGAATTAGTAGGAATGAATCGAATCTATTTTTTAAGCAGCCAGTGGAAACTTGTTTTCCGCCACTGAATAAAAAAGGTTATTGTGAATTTTCACAAGATATAAACTCACAAATCTGAAAAATAAAGTCAACGTTTATATCCCTTACATCTCGCAATTCTGACTTTATAACATACAACTGCAGGTTATAAAGCCAGAATTGTGAGATAGAAATTATGTCAGAAAATGTCCGAATTGTGAGCTGACTTTTTTTCCTCAGAAATAAAGTTAGAATTGCGAGATCCCACAGTTCTGACTTTATAACTTTCTTTATACTTTATAATCTCGCAATTGCGAGTTTATATCTCACAATTCTGAGAAAAAAAGTCAGAATTCTGAGATGAAAAGTCACCATCTTTTATTTTTATTATTCCGTGGTGGAAACAAGCTTCCATAAAATTGTGAGGTCAACATGAAATCTAAGTTGACTCTGTATAATTTCTTAATGCATGTTCCTGATCTTATTGTGAATGATTCACTTGTGCATGTGTAATTCCAAAGAAAAATTCCTGTTTACATAATTTTCAGTCAATTACTGATGGATAAAATCAAGTCTAGTCCTACACTAAATATTAGGGATGCATCACTATTAAAAATATAGATACAGATAAGCCGATAATCATTTTCATGCTTTGGCCAACAGCTAATAAAGTGTCTTTTATTTCAATTAAAAAGTAAAACACTAAAAACGATAACAGTTTTAAATACTACAAGTGAATATAGGAATCACACCATTATAACGTACAGTATGAAATATCAGTCACCATTTTGAGACTTGCTAAAGATTAAGTTTAAGTGAGCATTAATTGTCAGTTAAGTAAAATGTGAGTATACCAATACTGATAAAAAAAATAAAAAAAAAATTCTCCCGTATCAGCTAAAAGCCAATATGGTACAGAGATACAGTATATTCTGTTTCAGTGGCGTGCACTCACAGACCTCTGAAGTGGCATTACGAGGGCACAATCGTGGTGTTTTGCATGGAAATGTGTCAAATCATACAAATAAAATGAGTTACGATTCATGTTGACTCTACAGGATTACCTTGAGGATTGTAAATGCCTCATTTTATACTGTATAAACTGCCTAACTAAAGGCCCAATCTGTTCAAAATATGTATCTGAGCCAAATGTCATGAGCTGGAATCGTAGTCACGCCTGATCCCTTTTGGCAAACTGTCTAGTGACAAGCCTGGTGTCATGAGGGAAGTGAATAGACTGTAAGGGTCACAAGGGTCAGAGGAGAGCAGGCCAGGGTGTGGTGCTGAACATTCCTGAATACAGATGTGGTGAGGATTTCTTTGGTGGAGGTTGAGGAAGTTATAAATTGTAAAAAAAAAAAAAAAAAAAAAAAAAAAAGAGGAATTACCAGTGCAGGATGCCAAATGTACAAACATTTCTCAGAGGTAGCCCTTTGAAAAGCTTTAGTGTGCCCAAAAGCCTTGTAGCAGGACCAGAGACTGCAGTACTTGGAGGCACGAAAACAATGCTGGTCATTCATTGAGTAACAAGGGAACAATAATGTGAAGGAGCAGACAGACTGCAAAAGTGTCCTAAAGTTTTAAGATTTGTGTGTCGTGTCTAGCCATACCGATAAACTATGCTGTTCAGACAGCCTAGACAACCTAAATTATTTAGCCACACACTTTTTAGTGAGTAATACTTAATTTAGTGGGTGGTTTTATTGGTGTAACATTAACTAAATAACATAAATAGTAACATAAAACACCCTAAAATAACTGAAAAAAGCAAGAAACAAAACTGCTTAAAATATAATAATCTGATGTAACACAGGAGCAGTTTTTCACAGTAAGTTTTCTTACTCACAAAAAAACATTAAATCATTTACTGTAAAAGTAATATAAATAAACTAAATGTGATATAAATTTATAGTGTAAATGTAATTCATACTTCCATAAACCATACAGTTTACGGTAAAAAAATAAATTCAACTCATGTAATATAACAACATCAAATTTTTACTGTATGTGGTAACTTCAATTAACATGTTTTTACAGAAAACTATTTAAAAAAGAATGTGAAAATTTTGAATAATCTAAAGAACCTTTTTTTCCCCCACAATAAAGAACCTCTTGTGCAATGGAAAGTTTTCATGGATGTTAAAGTTTCTTCATGGAACCATAGATGCCAATAACCTTTATGTTTAAGAGTTAGCATTTTTTATGTAAAAATTCCAAGCATTATTTCCAGTGTACCATTTGTTGCTTTGACCTGATTCAATGATGTGCCTCAAGTGAGCAAGGTTATTTTGGTTATTCAATTCAAACATACCTCGTTCTCAAGTAGAACATTGCTGCTTTGATGTCATAACCAAACCAATCAGTTCCACCTGTTTCACAGAATAAAGATCTAGTCTGGAAACTGTCGTCTTCACTGGCTCAGTGACATATGACAGAGCTCATTGCCACATTTAATAGCCCCAGACAGTAGCAATAAACATCGGAGAAGATCTCACACTGCTTTTCTTTGAGTCTACTGAAGGTTAAACCACATTTGAGCCTTGTTTGCAGGTCCAAGCCAAGCACTTAGTTTCTTTTGGTAATAAAGAAAGAGAAAAGTAGTTATCAAGAACAGATTGTTAGCTGGAAAGTTTCTAAAAATACATAAATATTAGGGGTATATTTCACGGGCAAGGAAATTAGGAAATTACATCGCCCCCTTTGCCAAGTGCATTCCAAACGACTACAGAATGGCACGCACGTGCCCTGCTCACTCCAAAGTCCCCACTCCAAGGGGATAGGAATGATCACTTCCATTTGGAATTTGCCTGGTGAACCGATCGGTACACGATACGCGTACCGTTACACCTCTAATAAATATGTAAGCCAGTTCCAGGAAATCTTCACCCTCCCACTGGCATGATATGCTCATTGCAATCACCTTGTGCATCACATGATTCATTTTCAATGATGTTTGTTCACCTGAACCTCATCAAAAAACATCCAAATGTGAAATCTTTCCCCACATGTGTTTTGATAAAAACTGGGAAATGAATGGCATTTAAATGCAGTCAGCAAACCTCACACAAACCAGTCTTTCTCCACATCCTGCTGTGTCCGCTCTGCCTGTTTATATACCCAGGCCTGAAGCAGTGGGCAGCATCCAACTGTCAGTTATCCAGCTCTGACCTTTTCCATGTTGGTAAACCTCAGAGTCTTAGAACATTTGCACTGGCTTTCTTGAACAAGCATTGACAATGATGTGCATAAATCCAGCAAATTCTGTCTTTTGTGCATCTTTTCATTTTTACAGTATGAAACATGAAATGAAAGTCTTTGAAATACCAAACAAATCATTGGTCAGTGTGTTAAACTACAGTGTACACTTGTCCCATCTACAGTGCGAAGCATTACCAAACACTGAGAATGAAGTAATCAGAAATTGAATCAGAAATGATGGTACAATATAAACATATTGATTTATAGTCATTGATTTTAAAAGTATAAAAACAATATTGAGAAAAATTTAAAATATACAGAAAATATATAAATAATTTGAAAGCACACAATTTTCAGTGCTGAGTTCTTATGCCACAATTCTGTTAACAGAAACTCTGATTGGTAGAATTCTTTTCATGATTTTTAGCAGTAGAATTTAAATTACTTTTTTTAAATGCAAGTAAAAAGCTAAAATCTTCTAGAGAAGCATATGCTGTTGCTTAAAACCTCAGAGCTCCTGGAACATTTATATATTATTGTTAAAAGGCAGTTAATCTGAGAAAAAGAATGGGAGTTTACTTCAGTAGCCAGGCTGTTGTGCTCTATTACAGTGATGAATTGTGTCAGGAGTTCAAACAGAAAGAAATTAATTCAAAGAAACCGCACGCAGAGTGGAAGCAAAACAGGTCCATTTTCCTGTTCAGTTTTTACCCCTGTGGTGTAGGAGAGCTAATTTACACAATTACTTGCCATGTGGCTGGTCCATATTTATTTATTTTTACATTTTTGTAAAGCATACATTGTAATGTATAATGCTTGGTAAGAATCTTACCATTATTTCTATGAAATTATTAAAATTTCTGTCATGTGCATGGAGGAACGTTATCATGCAGGAAAACAATTAATGCAGATGATT